CAATATAAATCTTTTATCTTATATTTGTTAATTATATCTTTTGATCTCATAATTATTATTATTATTATTATTATTATTATTATTATATATATATATATATATATATATATATATATATATATATATATATATTGATAAAACCATTTGATAAGTATGTATTCCCCCGGTAAAACATTTAAAATAGTAAAATAGGGGTTGTGAACTCACCCTAGTGGCCTAGTCGTGTGAAACCTTTGATGTAGGGTTGAATCGGGTTTGGGACTCCGGGGACCGCTCCAAAGGGTAGCTACTTTGAGAAGAGAGTGATAGAGAAGTTTGAGAGGTGTGCTGGATGGAATGACACAACCCTCTATTTATAATCGAGTTTTGGAGGTGCGTGTCGGGAAAATATCTACGTGTGTCGCGCAAGAGCATCGTGGCTCCACAGGAAGTTGCTATGTGTCACTCCCTCACTCGGCCACGTCTCTCGCAATCTACCCGAATCCGATGTTAGGTGCGTGGTGTGCAGAGACGCGCACCTCGCACACACGAAAAGATTTTTTGTAAAAATCATAACTTCTTCGAGCGAGCTCCGATCTAAGCCGTCTCTATATCTATGTGATGATCTCAATGAGTACTACACATCTCCTTTAGGTTGTTTTAGCTAGTTTTGACTTTTATTTTCGTGCATAATGGGGGTAAAAATAAATGATTTTTACAAAAATCATATCTTTCTCATATGGATCCCGTTTTCGGCAAACTTTGTCCTAAAGTTAATATCTCGAGGAGTACTACGAAACTTCTTTTTGCACTTTTAGTCAAAACTCAACTAATCTTTAAGTGTCGTTTTGACGTAATTATTTTTAATTACTCGGTTGATTTCTATTTTTATAAAATCCATAATTCTTTTATTTGGAGTAGGATTCTTACGAATCTTATATCCTTGTGATCACATTAACTAGTACAATCCAAATATGTTAACAAACTTAGAAAATGGTACAACTTTTCAGATGCTGATTTTTTAGCCTAATGAATGTTTTAACAAACAAATGTAATGACACATCTGATTCTTATTATCTTAAAAATCAAATATTACAATACCAAGCGATTACATCTACTTTTATAATCTTTCCTAAGAGTGATCAATGGCAGAAACTTATCAGTTGTTACATTGGTTAAGATTATTTATCCTAAATAATCTTCTATTAAAAGTCATTTTTATCGCGTATTATCTGTAAATTGACTAGCCTGAATCCACTGACGTTACAGGCTTCTTGGACCACAGTTGTAGTTGTTTGTTGTTGTTACCTTCGTTTCCTCATTGGTCTCCCATGATAGAAGTAAGAATTAAGGTTTTTGTGGGTGTGGAGTTGTGATGGTGTGAGTGAGGAAGGTGGAGTGGTGTCTCTAGGTGAAGATGGTTGAGGTGAGGGTGAAAAAGTTTCGGTTTTAGTTTATGTTGCACTTAAGAGGGGTTTGTCCTCCTAAATGTTAATAACTGGAGGGGTGGTTGAGGAAGAAGTACTAGAATCCGATTGTCTCTTTCGAAGCTTGTCTTGTTTTTTGATCATCTTGAGTGTTTTCTTAATTTCTGTGTCAATTGGCAATGGTGTATATATACATAAAAATCTAGACATAAACAATTAGTAACACCGTATCCCAAACAATAACGTTAATTTGCCTAACAAATGATAGGGATAGAAAATGAACTCCATATACATTGTTACTTTTACGGATGAGCATAGGCGGGTACCCGCCTCATTTGGCAAGAACCAGAACCGGAACCGGAACCGCTCTAGGCGGTTCTTAAAATTTTGGAACTAGTCCCGGAACCGGCGGTTCCGGTTCCAAGAGCGGGTAATCCGGTTACCTTAACTTTGTTAACTTTCACCGATAAAACCGCAACTTAGTTCTATCCAAATCGAATCAATTCGGACCAAAGAGGGACATAATCGAACCAATATATTCTAAACCGGTCTTAATAACACACATACACACACACACACATATATATATATATATATATATATATATATATATATATATATATATATATATATATATAAACCGGTTTCGACGGGTACCCAATGGATAGCGGTTCCGAAAAAAATGAGAGTTGGAACCGGAACCGCTTAAGACGGTTCATAACTTTAGGAACCAGAACCGGAACCACTTAAGGCAGTTTCAGTTCTAGAACCGACAGTTCCGAAGCGGTTCTAGTTCCAAAAGCGGGTATCCGGTTCCGATGCTCATCCCTAGTTACTTTGCACTAGAAAATAATACAAGACAAACAAAATCGAACCATAGAGACACGAGTTTTTATACAAGGTATTTGAGTCACAAATAAAGGGAGTTTACCATTCGGTTTTAGCCTGCATCAAACCATCAAACGATACCATACTCAAATCTAATTGCAAGGTTATACTCGAGATTCAATAAATAAAGCGCTACGGATAGAATAATAAAATTTGTAGTCATTTACAATCAACAGCTATAGAAAAACGAGAAGAAGAAAATCATTAACAAAACCAAAGGAAAAAAAAAGGGGGGCAATTGCAGTGAAACCAAAGGAAAAAAAAAAGGGGGCAATTGCAGTGAAACCCTTGTTATTCATTGTTGCCTGCATCCCCATCAATTCCTCCTCCACTAATGGCCGGCTAGTTAATCCCTTGCCTCCGATCCATTGTTGTCCTCAATTACGCACAAAACAAAGGAGATGGGAAGCAGCAGCAGCGACGTTGAAGCAGGATTCGCCAAGCTCCAAGGCGAAGACTTTGAATACTACATGCAAACCTACTCCATTATCCTCGGACGCAACTCCAAGAAATCCACCGTCGACGTGGATCTCTCCTCCCTCGGCGGCGGAATGAACATATCCCGTCACCACGCCCGCATTTTCTACGATTTCCAACGCCGTCGTTTTGCCCTAGAAGTCCTCGGGAAAAACGGTTGCTTCGTTGAAGGCGTCCTCCACCTACCGGGTACTCCACCGGTAAAGCTCGATTCGCAGGATCTTCTTCAAATCGGCGACAAGGAGTTTTACTTCCTGCTGCCCGTCAGAAGCATCCTTGGTGGTCCAATTGGGCCGCCACGCCACCACCTCCCGAACCCTAGTCCCGTCAGCAGTTACCAGTCTCCTCATCATTTGGCTTTGCCTCCGTCTGGTAGGGTTTCGAGCGGGAAGAAGAGTGGTAGGGGTAGACATATGACTGATTTCGAAGATGCTTATGAGGATGATGATATGGATGATAGTGGCGTTGTTGGGGCTAAGAAGATGAGGAGAGGTGCTCCAGATGCACTTGATGCTTATGCATATGGTGCTCCCTCTGGTTCCGGTGGGAAATCACATTCTGGTTAGTAATTCAACCTTTCGTATTGTATATTAGATCACCAATTTTGATATCAGTTTGCCACATTGAACATGCTCAATGGAACTTGCAGAAAATGATGTTTTGGTAGTTGCTCATAATCATCAATCAGTACCCTGATGTGGGTGATAAGAAACAAACACTTTTTCAAATTTGTCAACAACTTTCTTTGTACCAGATCTCAAGTTGGATTTGTATTAAATTCAGCAGAAAGATCATAAAAGCAAGAACAAGATATCTCAATTCGTTATGGCAGTATCTTCTTCTTGATCACATTGCAGATTTACAGGCAGCTTTTTCTGTTCATGTGGAGCAGATTTGAAATCATTATATCAGAAAACCACATATGATATTTACAATAGTAATTAGTTGAAGCAATGCATCTTTGAGATGTATATGATGCGTCATAAAACTGTATACTTTCTGTATTAAATCGTTCTTTCTGTGTCAAGAAGAAACAACAACTCACATGAGGTAAGATAAAGATTTATAATTGTGTTTTTCTTTTTTTTTTTTCTGTTGTGATTACAGATAAAAAGTCAGAGGGAAGATCAAGAGTTGACCGAGAATCTGACAACCAACAACTGTTACAATTAGAGGAGAAAGATGTAGTATCATCTGTAGCTACTGTGTTATCTGATCTTTGTGGTCCTGGTGACTGGATGGCTATGGAAAAACTTCATGCTCAGGTAAAACATTTAAAAAAAATAAAATAAAACCTTTCTCTCTTAAGTCTTAATAAACATTTCTAACTTGTAACTATTACTTTTTACATCATGCAGTTGATGGAACAATATGGAAGTGTGTGGCACCATAGTCGTGTTAGAAGGTATCTAACTTCTGATGATAATGCGGGCCCCGAGGCCCAAGGAAAACCCTGGTTTGGACTGCTTATGTTGTTGAGGAAATACCCTGAACATTTTGTCATTAACACTCGTTCTAGAGGACGTGTTACACTTGAGTTTGTCTCACTTGTTTCACTCCTATCATGAGACATTTTCAACCTTTGTTTACCATCTTATGTAAATTAGTCTCTCAACTTTTTAGTTCCTTTTTATGTTTTTTTTTTGTGGTCTATTACTTTTGCTTGTATTTGACTATATGCATCTTTTGAGCATTTGGTTTGACTATGCACATCTTATCTTCAAATGCTATCATGGGTAAAAGTTGAAATATATTGCTTTTATTAGGAAAAAAAAAACAAAAAAACAATCAAAATCTTAAATATAGAAAGCATGTCATATGATCATATCATCTTACTTACTGTCCCATTAAACAATCAAAATCAAGTGTAAATGCACCATTGTCTCTTATGATTACATACTACAACAGTTCTATTTAAGGGTATACTCTTAAGATATGCATTATCACCAAAAATTACTAAAAATGGCTAAAGATTAAATAATTGATAAATAAAATAAAAATAAAAATCATCATCAACTTCAAGATGCTGATGTCTCTGCATCATCGGATGCTGAGAAGCTGTTTCCTCCTTGATCCTCCTCAGCTTTCTGATCATCATCGTTGTTCTGTGATGGATGCTCAAATTTCATTCGTGAACTCACCCTTCTTTGATGTTCTGAGTATATATATATATATATATATATATATATATATATATATATATATATATATATATATATATATATATATATATATAATTGTTTAATCGATAAAATACAGAGTCAATCACTTGAAAATATACAAAATACGAGGGAGTTGTTGAATTACTTTTGCTGTTGATTGCAGACCGAGTCACAGTTAAGAACTCATCCCAACTCAGTTTACTGAGTTCGTCCTTCTCCTCTACTGTAAGCTCAAAATTCGGTTCTCTACCACACATGAAAGCAGCCCTATTATACAAACAAAATCAAACCCAAATGGAGTCAAAGTTTCAAACATATAAAAATGCAATGTGATTTGATTTGATTTGTTAACCTGTCATACAAACGAGCAGCTTCTTCTTGGGAGCCAACTGTGCCTAAATGGATCTGTTTTTTGTCCACTTTAATGGCAGCTTGCCATTTCATGTTTTTGTAATACACCCCTCTCATTATGCAAGGTTCTTGATTCTCAAAATGCTTTCTTCTGTGTCTTTTTCGCCTTTTGAACACTGAGTAACAATTTAAATTGGTCAAAACTAAAGTCAACCAACAACATAAGGTGTTGTTTCTTGTACTTTTTCATTCCATTTCCCCATGTGTGTTTACAAGTAGACAACAGGTAACATGAGAAAAATAACAGTAGTCAACATATACTCACAATTGACAATCCTTTTTCTTTAAAGTGAAAAAGTGGAAAATATGTTGCTCAATCAAAACCATTAACTTTTCAAAAATTAAGAATAGATGAACCTGGAAGCTGAAATGGCTGCTGCTTATTAGATGAGCTTGATTCATTAACATTTAAGGATTCATGTTCTTCGCACTTTGTTTTCTTCTGCTAAAACATCAATCAAGTTATCAAGTATAAGATAACAAAGATACAACTTTATGCCATTTATGAAAACAAAGTTATATCTTATCATGTACCTCTGTAGATCGGTCAACCAAAGGTGTTGGATGCATGCTGACCGGTCTGCCATGTTGGACCCAACCACCACCAGGAGAATGTCCGTTTTCAAATGATGATATCAAATCTAGAGAAGGACTTCTCCCTGACATTCACCATAGCAAATTATCAACAAATGAATGATTCACAATTCTTTATGCATTCAAGATTCACAAATGAATCAATTAAGTAAGTGGTTTGTATATAGCTGAATGGGTTAAGACGTATGTTTATGCAACAAAGTTTCACCTTTTTCTCAATTTATGCAACCGACACAAATTTTGCAGGGTATAGTTAAAATGTTTCAAATTGAATTCCTATAGTGAAATGTGGTTTTTGCATATTTCGTCTAAAAGGGTGAAACATTGTTGGCATACATAAGCATTTAACCCTGTCTAAAACAACAAGTAAGCCTCACGATATCTAAATTATAACAAAAAGTTGGTTAATTATAAGAAGTACCATAAAGCTTGATCAATCTTTGTCGACGAATGCTCACCATAGCTTCCTATCACAATCTTAAACAACTCAAAGAAAGAAGTCCAAGTTATAAACAAAGAAAAAATAAGTTAAATATGGCAAAAACAAGAGCCACACTAGCACATAAAGTTTGAGAAATCTTAACTACAAAAGCAGGACAACAAAGGGGTTTGAGGATCTTAACTATGAAAGCCCTGAAGCATTTGATCGAACACCCAAAGGTCGATTTCAAATGTAAAGGAAAGGACATGGGAGAAATATCAAGTCAACCCCACTTCATGGGTGATTTTGAATCATCAAAATAATTACAAGAACATGGGACAAAAGGTTGACAAAACCTCGTAATCTTGCTCATAATTCGAACCCCAGATGGGGAAAATGTTTGAATTACCAAAGTTGAACAGACCAATTTAAATCAAGAAAACCCAAAAACGTGGAACCCCACAAGAAATTATAACCTCAAATAGAACAAACATCCTGCCAAATAGAAAGAGAATCTCGATCGAGGGAAAGAAAATCAGGGAAAAAGCTTCATTTGTGTTCATAAAAATAAGTCAACCCACCAACCTACCACCTTTTATGGACGAAGGCCCAACAAAAACGAAGTCTTAACCCCTACTTACCAATCAATCAAGAAAAACCCACAAACCAAAACAGATTAATTAACTCAAACTTGAAGAAAAGAAACGATCACATCATCTACACAAATTAACGATGATGAACGATTTCGAAGAAAGCCCCTAATTTTGGGTTTGTAGGTAGAACAGAGTGGTGGGGGCGTAGCGAAGTACAGACATTGTAAACGAAGGTAGAGTCTTTGTGTTGTAGATACCTGCGACTGCGAAGGTGGTGAAAACAGCGCAAAAACCAAGAAAGGTCACGAAATCAACAGGGGTTTTGATCTGGATGGTAGTGAAGAGGATTACAAAGGCAAGGTGGTGAGGTTGGAGAGAGAAAGTTGAGATATAGATATATCTATATATGTATATTATTATATAGAGAGAGAAAGAGTGAAGAGAGAGAGAGAGAGTTGGAGAGATAGAAAGAGGGGAATTGTAGTTGCTCATGCATCTACCACCTTTTGTTTTTATTTCACCTCTCATTATGTTTTGGTGTGTAGAAAGGGAGAGAGAGGTCAAGGGTGGTGGTTTGATTGTAATGTTTTTGTAGAGAGAGAAAGGGTGTTGAATGAGGGTAATTGTGTAATTTACTTATACAAGTTTTGAGCTTTAAAGAAGGCTGTAAATTGTAACACCCTTTGTGTTTGTGGGTCTTAGGTTTTCTTTGGTCAAATTTACCATATTATCCTTATGCTACTGCTCAAATTTTGAATTTTCTTTGCCCGTTTCTACACAATTCCCCTTGGACTTAGAGTTATTTACAGAAAACCAACCAAAATGTGACTTTTTGTATCACATGTACATGTTTTGTAAACAAAATTTGTGTGGATGCCAATGGCATCATCTTTCTTCTTCATATATTTTTTGTTTTCATGTGACAATGTCAATGGTGTAGGGTTTGAATAGCAGTTTAGAATATTTAATTTATTTAAGCTTTACTTTTAAATAGCAATACGAACTAAATTTAAGTTAATCACAAGATTAAATTGATCATATTAGATTTTTCTATTGAAATCATATGCTACATTGTCGGAGCATTAATAATTAGGTCATGTTTAGCATATACATAGATAAGTTAGTTTATTTATCAATTATTACAATTTAGTGTTTGATAAGATATTATAAACTAGTTTTTTATTAGATGATAACTTATTAATATGCTAATTTTTCAATTAGCATGTTAAACATGATTTTAATGTCTAATTTTATTTGCAGTTGAGTAAAATTTATCCAAACTTATATATTTTATAAATTAGTGTTTGATTTTGGTTGCAAGTTAATCATCATTATTAGTAAAAAAGAAAATTAAGTTTGGAACAATGAGTAGTTTTTGTTTGTGTATATTATTATTATTATTATTATTATTATTATTATTATTTAAAGGGAAATTAAGTAATCTAATCACATTTTAATATGTATTTGAAGAAAATAACATTTTTTTTACCAAAAATAATCATTTGGTCCGGAATAGACATTTCAGACTAAGGAAAAACATTTTTTTTGACAAAAAAAGTATATTTCAGACTGAATTCCGGACCAACATTCAGATTCCGGACTAAAATTTCGGACTTTGGAAAAAAAAAACTTTGAAATTTCAAGAATAAGTTTAAAATTCTGATGAGTCAATAATTCAATCAAGGAATGATCCCGTAAAGTAAACGAACACGGAGGGTAAATAAATCTGTTAAGCTCTTGATTATGTGAAAATAACAAAGGTACAAGTTACAATGTGAATACTGAAAAGCGCTACATATAACCTTTACTACGGTATTATATATAGTACCCTCAACAGACAAAAAAAGTATAGAGAAACTTCGACATTCAAAGTGTTACAACAACGATGCTCTTTAAAATACATAGAAATATCGAAGGTGCATAACCTTCAATATAGACTACAACACATTACATCGATATATAAACCATAAGAGTTCGACAATGAATATATTCACAACAAAACTATCCTCTACATCCCCCTCTCTTTGTGAAGAGTATTCAAGTCTTCAAGCAATTGGTAGTGTCTTCACTTCATCTATCAGTGTATTCCTGATCTCTAAATACCAACATATCACCTTTCTTATCTCTTGCCTATCACCATCAGACTTATTTTTGCACTTTGCAATTCTAAGAAAAACATTCGTCAAATTTGCTATAGAATACATTTCTTTCAAATCACTATAAAAGAAGTGCTTCTTTTATTTTCCCTTCACCTTCTTCCCTTGAAAGATAACACCCAAAGGTTTAAAAACAATTTATCCATTGTAACGCCCCGAATCTCAGGTAATAATTTTATAGCTTTAATTTTCATAAATTGCAAGGTCTACTCAACGAGTTGCATGCCGTGACTCGTCGAGTAGAAGCGGGTTGGGCCACGTGTTTAAGTGACCTACTCGCCGAGTCCAAGATAAGACTCGACGAGTAGGAGTTGGAGGATGAAACCCTAATTTTCGGGGTTTTGCACCCTATTTAAAGGATCATTAGCCTCTCTTAGCCCCTTACAGCCTCTTGAGAGTTCAACAAACCCTAATCCGTGTGTGTGCTCCATTTTTATGTGTTTTAAGCTTTGGAAGGTGGATCTTAGTGAGAGGATCTTAAAGATTGTAACACCCGTGTTTCTAGACTAGGCATTAATGATAATGTAATAGTCTAGGTTAACCTTTGTAAACCGTTGTGAAATAATAAAAATGTATTATTTTGAGTGTTATGTGTTTTATGCTTAATTGTGTGACTTCAATAAATTAAAAACAAGAATAAGCGTAATAATAAAACATTAGATAAGTCCGATATCCAAAAATGAAATTTTAGTGGTCTTTACGAGGATTCCGAAAATATAAATAATGCCGAAATCCGAGTTATAACGAAGAAGTTATGACCTGTCGAAGTTTCGCGACAGAACCGGTACGACATTGTGTGACGTAAATTGTGAATTTACGTTAAAGCGATATTTAACCTTAATGATCTAAACGAAAGTCGTACAATATGTTAAGCCGAGAGCGTGCATAAAAAGAACGTCTAAATCTGACTTCGCATGAGGAAGTTATGATTTTTCTAAGTTTCGACTTAGCAGTATGCAACCCAAAGTTCGAATATGAGATCAAGTGACTTCTACCCGAAAGAATCTAAACAAGAATCGAAGATCTCATCGATAGTAGTCCAACGGTGAAAAAACAGACGAAAACGGATGTCCGATGAAGAAGTTATGAATTTCTAACGGAGTTTTCCAGTCCCAGCCTACTAAAAATAATATAATAAAAATAAAGTCAAAATTATCCGACGGGGTCTAAATGAAAGTTTTGGAGTGTAGTCTCACCTACGCGTGGATATAAAGAACGTCGAAAATGGAGTTCGTATACAAAAGATATGAATTTCTGAAGTTCGAAGCACGAACTTCAACCCTTGTGTCAAAGCTCACGACGAAAGCACAATGTTCACGACGTGAGCAGGTGATGGACATCTTCCAGGGCAAGTGGCCATGACGAACGCAGTGACATATCGAGCTTACGACATGAACATTAGTGGCTCACGACGTGAGCATAGTATTTCAGCCCCTTATAAATAGAAAGCGAGGCCAGTCGTTTAGGGTTGCCAATTTCTTTCCTCTCAGTCCATATTACCTTGATTTGCGTGCAAGTTATAACCCCGAAGCCCCGATATCATCCCAACACCTGAAGCAAGTCATGAAGCTCCGAGGATCCCGATAAGAAAAGAGTTTCGAGCCAAAGTTCTGCCCGCAAGAAGCCCGGTGTATGAAGATATCACAGTTTCACCGAAGAATACTACATTTAGAGCCGTAGTGCTGTCCGATAAACATCTTATCAAGTGAGTGCATATTCCATTTCATATACACCATTTTAATACAAGTATTGATAAATGTATTAGATATATGATATGAGTATGTGTGTAGTTGCTTTCTGATAATACACATATATGAATTATACTCTATGAGATACGTGATATGTGATTATATACTATTTTTATGTGGTATGAGTATTGAATGAATATGTTATATAGGTTTTAAGTTGTATATAAACAAGTATATTTTATCTACAAATATATTGAGTAGAACATGGGTAGATAGTGATGTGTGATGAACTAAAAATGATGAGAGGCCTCGATATGATTGTGATCTAGTCGTCCAACGGAATATGGATGACGACTACAAACTTTTCTAGACAGTTCAGTGGAACGCTGGCAGACTCATAACCTGTAGGTGTAGTGAACTTGGGTGTTCATTTTTTGTATTCTATCCCCCTCATGGTTGCCTTTAGGATATCTATTGTTGAGGAAACCCCTTTGCAGTAGTGTTAGTCCCGATAAAAATCCTAGATTAGGTCCCTTGCAATAGTTGTTGTCATAGGGACGTAAAGTGAGGATAACAGGAATGGGTAATCGGGTTATTGTTGGTTGGTGAAATTAAATATAATTATTTATTGTGGGTTGAAAACCCTATATGCTCACCAGGCTCCCAAGCCTGACCCACTCAGTTTCTTAGTATTAAAGGTAGTGGCGCGAGAGCATAAGTTTGAGAACTTGTGAAGATATTTTTGTTTATAGACCAATAGTTGTATGTAACTGTGTAAGGTCTATGTTATATTGTTTATGCTTTTGTGCCTGTATCGGAAAATGACATCCCGAGTTTTGATAAGTAATGAAAATATATTTGTTTAAGAAATGCTTTGATAAACCTTATTTTATCATTTATTGTTTTGGGGACAAATTCCGCAACTCCTTTAAATCAATGGATTTACTCTGAAATTAATTTAAAAGCATAAATGAAACCGGTCTTTTCTGGCCGTGATTTTGAGGATGTCACAGTTGTTATCAGAGCATTAGTTTCTAGCGAACTAGGAATTTGTAGGATTTCTAGACTTAAACTTAAAATGTTAAGTGAAATTGTGAGATGTGTGTCTATTATATTTCAGACACGAGCACTAGTTTATTTTAGGAAAGTTTCCTAAAATGCTATTATGTGTTAAATGTTATATGTTTACCATATATGATATTATTTGTTCAGGTCTACGGTTTGTTGACAACTGGATCTGAAAGCTTATGTGTTTAGGATTCTAAGCGTATGACTATGGTATTAGAACTATCATGTAAATGTTTCGGAGTGATAAGGATGATTTAGTTATCTATCATGATTAAGGGTCTAAATTCACCTTATTCGGTGTTTAGATCAAAAATGGTAAGAACTAGAAGTGGAGTTGAAAACGTGAACGAAAACAGGAATCAACCACATGTGATTGAACAAGTAGTTGCTGTAGCAGCAACACCTAAGCCAATGACAATGGCTGGGGTACAATTGATGATTCAAACGATGTTGGATCGTCAGATAGAAGAAACTAGACGTCTGCTTCGGCAGAATTGTGAAGAACTTTCAATACCGATAAAAGAGCCCAAAGCGAATAGAGGGAAGTCGGAAGAAGGTAACTTCAGTGGGGTTATTGGTCAAGCCAACCCACCAGTTAATAGACGAAAAAATGATGATGGAGGAAATGATGGACAT